CCATGGGAGAACTAACCTTTCATTAAAAAAAAAAAAGAAGACAAATTAATATTACCCAGTACAAAGTAGTACCTACAGAAAGCTTGAGGAACGACAGTCAGTGGTTAAGCTTCCAGGCTGAACACAAGCCTAGCCCCATGTGAACGCTGCAGCAACCTTAGGAGTAGGCTCTGCTGCTCTCCTTATTTCTCAGGTGAAAGGTTCAAGACCAACTGCTGCTATCTTCAGTCTCTGTGGATGCTCTCCTCAGGGCAGTGTGAAAGTAGTGTGTGACAGGGTTCACTTCTAATTTTCTTTCACACTGTACGTCCTTATCCTGTGGTCTCCATCTCGACTCATGTTTTGTTTAGCACAGGAAATGTGCACGTGTTAACACCCATCTGTTGTGATCCTCAATAACAGATGAGACAGAGAGAACCACCACGCTTGCATGCATGCTGCGTGCCAAGCAATGTCTACCTCTAATCTCGAAGACTTCACATATCAGACATACTCCGGGAGGTAGTTTTCTTCAAAATCAATTCAACTGACCTCTAAAAGACACAGATCACTTGAATCATCACCCTTTGACACTCAGTGCATGCAGCACTACTTCTAACATTGCTAACTCGGGGGTGGGCATGTAGCTCGGTAGCAGAGCACTTGCCTGGCATACATGAAGGACTGGGTTCCAGCCTTCGGGTTACACAAACAAACGAATGAATAGAACAAAGTAAAAAAAAAATTGATGAGTGCTGTGTCCACAGCACCTCTCCAGATTTACCATTAATTCCAAGAAGATGGGGCGACGTCTTCATTTCCTCTGCGAGCCCCAGAATTTTGTATAACATCTTCATAGCAGAACTATACTGAGGGTCATGGGAGAGCACCTAAACTCACACTCTTCAGGAAAGGTGGAAGAGAGCACCTACTGAAGAGCCTCCATCAGCCGCAGAAGCTCAGCGTATTTACCTGAGCTGTTACACATTCCATCTGGAACCTCCTAGCTTCTACTGGTGAGAAAACAGGAGCACCCAAAAGTCAAACTCACAGCACACAGTGGTAATAGGATTCCTGGACCACTTGGAGATGTTAGAATTTTGGAGACCATGGCAGCTAGAGTCGCACTTCAGGAAGTGTGCAAGTGGGACCGAGGATTTAATTCAGTTGGAAGAGTGCTTGCCTAGCATACACAGGGCCCTGGGCTTCTGTCCCTAGTACCACGCAAACCACAAGTGGTGGAATACAGGCGTAATCACGGCTCTAAGAAGGGTAAGGCAGGAAGATCAGAAATTCAAGGTCATCCTTGGCTTCAAGGCCAGTGTGTGCTAGAGATCTTGTTTATAACAGACAGTGCACAAGTGATGTGTGTGTAGAAGGCTATACTGTGCACATTCCTGTGCTGAGAGGCTGACGTGGGACAGACTCTTCCCCACGATTCACCCTCACAGGGTTAAGGAGCAGCTCAGTGGTAGAGCATCTGACAGGCATAGTTATAAGAAAGGCTTTGTGGAGGGGAGTGTGGTTTGCCTGGGACTGTAATAGGTTCCAGAAGAAGTCCGAAAAGAAGCAGTTAGTGTGTTAAGATCGTGCAGAGCAGGCTCAGGTTTGATGACTTGTCTCACAGAACTCTGAAAATCAGGTTCCTGGGAAACCACCTAGATTTGGTCTTTGACATTTTAGAAAGAGAAGCGCTGAGACTAGCAAGGCTCGCCATACCAATATCATCAGTTAGTGTTAGAATTGTGGGGGAAATCGGAAGAGATAACCAGTTTTGTCTACATTAAACATAAAGTGCTATCATTTGATATTATTTCTGTATTATGTGAATGAGAGTGTTTGCCTGCATGTTTGTGCACCACTTGCCTGCCTGGGTCCCCCAACTCAGAATTTTTTGTGTTGTATCTCTCTTAAGGTTTTTTTCTCTCTAAAAATTGTATTTGTTTGTTTTTATAAGTTGAACACTTACTCTTCTGATAGTCCCACTCGAACAACTTTAAGTACACAGTAGTGAATGGTCAGGAGACTTCTTTCTGGAGAAGCTGAATAGCAGGGATTGCCAAGCCAAGATGTGAAGGACCAGCACTAATAGCACAGGAGTAAGTAAACTGCTGTGACCGTGGCTTATGCTTGAAATGTTATTCTAGCTCTCCATTTTCAGGACACCCATAGAAGGAAGACCTTTCTCTTTCCTCTTAAGTGATCCATAACTCACAGCAATTTAATAGGCATTGTATTTTTTTGTAAACCGAAATGTAGAAACTCCAAGTCTTCTTGTTTTACAGGGCAATGTGGCTATTTGTAAAGCTTCCATAAGAATCTCTTCTTTCTTTTTAATAAGAACAGACTTAGAAGAGCTGGTTATGTAATTAAGGCCTTGACTGGATACTGTCTTCGATAAGGATGGATATGTAATAGTAATATATTAGACCCTTAGAAGGAACTGAGGTTTACTGTATGGAGTCAATACCCAAGGAAATGATTTTCTGAGTTCCTGGTCTTCACAGGCAGAAGAAAGTTGCTTGTTTTTTTTTTTTTTTTTTTTTTTTTTTTTTTGTCTAAAAGCCACTTATGAGTCAATACATATGATATTTGTCTTTATGGCTCTGGGTTACCTCACTCAATATGGTGTTTTTTTTCATGGTATAGTACTCCATTGTGTAAATGTACCACATTTTCTTTATCCATTCTTCAGTCGAGGGGCATTTGGGTTGTTTCCAGGTTCTGGCTATGACAAACAATGCTGCTATGAACAGAGTTAAGCACATGTCCTTGTGGAACGATTGAGCATCCTTTGGATATACCCAAAAGTGGTATTGCTAGGTCTTGAGGAAGGTTGTTTCCTAATTTTCTGAGAAATCGCCACACTGACATCCAAAGNAATACCCAAGGAAATGATTTTCTGAGTTCCTGGTCTTCACAGGCAGAAGAAAGTTGCTTGTTTTTTTTTTTTTTTTTTTTTTTTTTTTTTGGGTCTAAAAGCCTTAGGATATTTAGGGGATTCAGTGAAAGAAGGATCTGCCCAAATTTATAGATACAGCAGGTAAAACGTGGTAAAGACAGTTCTTGGCATCTCAAGACAATAAACAGTAAATGACTATGAAAACCCAACAACAATGCTAAACTACCTATGGGAGACTGGAGCAAGGCTCAGTCAACAAGGTGCTTGCTGCACAAACTGAGCGTTATCCTCAGTGCCCACATTAAAGGCCTGGCACAGTGGTGGCTGCGTCTGTGTTCCCAGGGTGGAAGGCAGAGACAGGTGAGAGCTACCTAAAGCTCCATGGAGCTGAGTGTCAAGTTCTGGGTCCCAGTGAGAAACCCTGTCTCAAAGAATAAGGTGGGCTGCCTTCTGAAGGACACCTGAGGTTGACCTCTAACTTCCACAGGGACACACTTGCACCACCTACTAAAGGAAAACTACACACACACACACACACACACACACACACACACACACACACGCACACACACATTAAATTATTTTTTAAAGGCTCCTTATGAAAACTTCTAGCAACACAAATTTAGCATGACCTACCTGGTTAATTAATGCTTTGGCTGTACATGGGCAAACAATGAGATTGAATCTAAGGAGATCTACTTTATTGTGTGATCAAAAATTTTCAGATATTAAAAAAAGCTGAAATGGAATCTATAGCGAAAACAACAGTGTCGAGGAGAGGCCACTCTCCAGGCTATCTGAGTCTGGTTTGTTATTTATCCTGATTTTAGTTTCCCTAGACACTGACCAAGTGGCAGCTAACCAGGTAAGTCTTGTAAAATACGTTCGCTAGTGAAATGGCATCGAGTCTTGATGTCTAAACGAGTTCATTTGTACGATGCTTTTAAAAACTGTGGTAAAATATACATAGCAAAAAAAGGTTATTTCAATCACCTTTAAATTTAAAGTCAGAAGCGGCAAGCATATTCACATTGTACAACCATGGCTGCTATCCATATCCACTAAACAGCAACTCTTCACTCCTCTCTCTTTCTCTCAATTCTCTGTCCTGCCAATTATGACATCTTCTTGTTCCTTCATTATGATGGGAGGGAGGTGGACTCTCTAACCCAGGCTCATGCTAAAGTCCTTATCAGAGTCGTTTTCTATCTCTCTGAAAACACAAAACTGTTTAATAGCTCCAAATTTAGAAAGGACCAGATAAGCCATCTGAGGGATATTGTATGTGGTGCCTAGCCTGACTGTGAGGGCTGGAAACCAAACACCTTTAAAACCAGGCCAAATGGATCGCACTCTAAGCATCTGCCCGATCTGTGTTAAGTTTTATAGTTTATAAACGATGGCAACCAACAAAATATTTTTAGCCCCCCAGTTGCTGCTCTTCCCCTCGCCCCTCTGGCCGCAGGCCAGGCACATTGCTCTGACGGAGAGTGGCCAAAACCTTTTCTCCCAGCAGGTGGGTGACCTTGTGGTCTTGGGGACAGCGCTGTGAAAGCCAGCTCACGCTTGTAAGGGTGACCACCCAGTGTTGGGGGAGCTGCAGCTCTACTCCCAGAGACCTACCCCAGCTAGGCATCCCTGAGACTGGAACGGTGCACCCAGGCAGGCTCCCAGAACCAGTGATTTCTGGCTTCTGTTACCTAATCCAATCAATAAAATAAACTAAAATGGGAACAAAGATCCCTGGCCACCTTTCTCTTCTACACTCCCTGGCCCCGGTTTCCCACAGGCAAATCCAGATCCCCTAAGTGCCACATTAAGAGTCGGAGGTACTGTACAGGTACCCGCCTGTGCGCCTGTGTTTGCAGATGCGGGTGACAACCCGGAAGGATGAAGACTCTTAGGCAGCCTGTTCTTCACCAGGGTCATACATTAGTCTGGGCTGATGTGGAATTAACAGATCTTTGTTACTAACCGTCCATGCCTGCGCCACTGAAGGAGCCCGGGCTTGAAAGAGCTAGAACCTCCTCCCCCACCCCAGGGACAAGCAGAGACAACAGCCGCCCGCCCGAGTGCGTCTCTGAGCGTCCCGGCAGCCTCCCTCTCCAGCCCTGCTCACCAGCTGTCCCTAGAGAAGGCACGGAGGAACCAGACACCCGGAGCCAAGGAAGACCGCATCTTGCGTGGCCGGTACCGGAGCTGGGAGGACGGAGGGCACAGAGCCGGCGCGAGTCCCCGCCACGGTCGACTGTTGTTTAAATGCCCCGCCGGCTGGCCCGCCCCAGCCAGGGTCCCCGCCCCTTGCACCTGACCTCCCTGCCCTCTGGGTAGCGCCTACGGCCAATCCCGGCAATCCCTCAAAGTTCGCTAGCGACTGTTTTCTGTGCACTACCATCTGTTTTCTCGAACTTTTTCTCCGTGTCAGAGACCGATAGTCTGAGTATCCTGGGGCTCCCCTTTCTGGTCTGTTCTTTTCCGTTTCAGTACTCAAGAGGGAGGGGGAACTGAAAACAGCAATCTTACAAGTCATCAACTCTGTGTGACGTCCTGTCTCTGCAGTCCTGCTTGTTTTGAGTGGTGCTGTGCCGTGCTACAGTGCAAACCAGGCACGCTGTGCGAGCTAGCGCAGTGGAACCAGTGATCTGGGTGCTATCACTCACCCGGAGCTCTGAAGAGTCTCAGGGAGGAAAAGTACTTAGCCCTAAACCCATCTCTCAAGTTCTGGTCCTGCCTGCTCAGATTCCACCCTGCTTACTAAGCCAGAGGGGGAGCCTCCCAAACCTACACTAGATACCCAGTTCTGTCCCCAGTAACGATGTTCCCAGCACTCCAATCTCCCCTTTAGAGGCAAGCAGCCAGGGGGCAGTGAAGAGCTACAAGGAAGGGTCTTTAGTGCTCATAAAAATCCCTGTCTCTAGTTTGAAGATACCAGGATGCATTTCCACCTATAAAATGACGCTACTGTGAGATTCCTGTATAGGAAACCAAGGGCGAAATGCCGAGAAGGGAAAGGGAAAGAAGGGGGAAAAGGGAGTATTCGCCTGAAAAGTAAACTTGTTAATAGAATATAAAATAGGAATGCGGCTGTGCAAATGGGTTTCAGCCCTAACCCCACCCACCCCTAACTCCTAGGAGTGCCCAATCCTTAGAGCAAGGTCAGGGAGGTTGCAGCCACAACTCCACCAAACAGGGGAGGACTCAGGACAATAGACGTGGCTAGTCAGCCCTGGTACAGAGCAGAAAGAGGGTAAGCAAAGTTGTAAAACCCTCGGATACTACCAGCAGTTGGGAGAATGGGTCTAGTGCCGGAAATGCAGGCAACAAGTCAAGGCCAGGGGTAAAGGGTTGGAGGAAGAAAGGCAATAGACAGGAGGCACAAATGCCAGGTCCTGTAAAATGCTGGAACACCAAGGGTATCTATCACATAAGTGACTTAATCAAATCCTTAAGTGCAGCACACAGGCTCTGGGAAGATGGCTGAGAGCACCAGTTCTGTGAGCGTGAGGACCTGAGTCTCCAGTAGCCACAGAGAAAGCCAGGCATGCTTCCTGTGCCTCCAGCCTCAGCACTAGCGGATGAAGACAGGCAGATCCAGAGAGCCTCATTGGCCAGCCAGTCAGTTTACCCAAGACCGAGTATTTGTAATTGACAGTGAGGAAGACACTCGTGATACGACTCTGGCCACAGTATGTACATGTATAGGCAAATGCACAACACATTACATATAAATTACAATAAATAAATAAAGAGCGCATACTGTGTGTGCCTAAGTATGCATCCCTTTCTTACCATTCAGTGAGGTGGGAATTAGAAAAAGTGCTTTAAAGCTCTCATTTGCCTGGGGCAATCCCAGGTAGTCAGCACCCCTGTTTAAACAGAAGATACACTAGAGGAATGAGCTGGCTTCCTCAGAAGCATAAGTACTGGTTCCTAGGGGACTACAAGGAGGATCAAGTTGGGAGGCAAATGAACCAAGGAAGCTGCTAGTTGGTCATCTGGGGTCACTCAGTAAGTGGATGTCAGTAGAGGAATGGAAAAGACCATTTCCAGAGCTTCTGTGATGCTATCCAGACTTCAGCAGTGCAGGAGAGCTATCTTTCCATTACAAAGAGTAGAGGAAAAAAGCTCACTACAGTGTGTTTTGCATGTTCTTTGGAGGTGTGCTGGTGTCTTTTGGTAGTCATATTTGCTGGGTGCTGGAACTCTCAGAGGCTGTGTGACTATGTCCCCACTATGTGCCAACAAGTGCCTGGGAGCAGACAGTCCTCAGTCTTTGCCTTGTCTATGGATTTGGGCCATGTATCCCTGTTCAGGGGCCGGAATACTCCTGAATATTAAAGACCAAATGCCAAATTACTAGGTTAAAAATGCTAATGTCATTATACACACAAATATTTTATTTATTTATTTTTTCCAAATGATGAACCAATGTCATTTTATTGGGGTTTCTAATGGAATTTAGGGAACCACACGAATATTTTAAAAATACATTTCCCTCCTCCGATTTCTGTCTTATAAAACAGACAATGGAACCATGTCTCAGAGATGTGACTGAATGGGCAGGAAGTCAGGATATTGGGGGGAAATGTAATACTAGAATTTTTCATTGCTTGGAGTCAGGGACAATCCTGGCTCTGATACAACTCAACTTCAGTTTCCATGTCTACAAAACATGGAAATAACACCTATACTACAAGACGGCTGTAATAACTAGAAAGTACTTGTATAAAAATATGTAATAGTTCCTGATCTGTTCAGTAGGTCTTGGCAGTAGAGAGATTATGATAAGACATTGTCTTGTAAAATCCTTATCAGTGTGTTTATGTATACATTCAGCTTAGCTCACTGATAATATAGTAAGCACTGTGATAGCCCCTTTTGAAAAACTTGGGTGTTGACAAGGATGTATGTGGGGTTAAGTAAAATATAGAAAAATGAAAATGCTATTATCTTAAATGTCAGATACTGAACTCACACTACAAAGTTATTGTTGAAACCCTCAAGGCCCATATGATCATATTGAAAAGGATTACATTTCTTAATAAAAGCTACAGTTCTGAAACACCTGTCAAAGAAAACCTCCACTTGATAAAACTAGTTCCAAGCAGGGCTTCAGTTTCCCGAGGAATGAACTCAGGGTTAGTAGCGGTCTTGAGACTGGCTTTAAGAACCACAACATAGCGGACAATGAGGACTACTGAGAACTCAAGAACAATGGCAATGGGTTTTTGATCCTACTGCACGTATTGGGAGCCTAGGCAGTTTGGATGCTCACCTTACTAGACCTGGATGGAGGAGGGTGGTCCTAGGACTTCCCACAGGGCAGAAACCCCGGCCGGTTTTTGGGGGGGGGGAGGGAGGGGGACTTGGCTGGGGGAGGGGGAGGGAAATGGGAGGCGGCGGCGGGGAAGAGACAGAAATTTTCAATAAATAAATAAATTAAAAAAAAAAAGAAGAACCACATCTGCTGACTCTCCTACTGTAAGCCTCGCAGGACACCAGTGGAGAAGCAGATAAGGAACAGCCCAACCTGAAAGTCATTACAGAAGGGAGAACAACAAGATAGAAATGTTAATTGTTATTATAATTTCTCAAAGTTGCGTTGTTTAAGGGAGAACTAAAAAGGAATAAACGGCAGGGGTAAAATGAGTTTGTCTCAGTATCTTACAAGCTGCGGAAAGTCTCTGAGTAAAGTAATGACTCATTCACTTACTGATTTAATAAACATTTGTTCAGTGTATAAACAGTTCTGTGCTGGGCTGAGCACAGTGGTGAATAAAACAGACATGGTGCCCTACATCAAAGAATTTACAGTTAAGTAGGTCAGAGATGTCCAGTGCAATCCCACCGCAAGGGTAAGTTGGAAAATCAATGCAAACAAGAAACAGGCTACAGAGTATGTTTATACTGCTCGGGGAGCCCTGAGATGGGATCAAACACCTCCGAATCTCAAAAGCTCCAGTATATGTAATAAGTCCAGATTTGAGGAATGTCTAGCTGCTTACCAAGTAGAAAAGATGGGAGTGTGGGACTCACCGAGTACATCTGCAAAACAACGTGCCATGAAAAAGCATGATCTTGAAAAGACGGTACCAGGAAATTCTGCACAGCTGGCAGGCACATGCATGGTGGAAAACTACAGAAGAGATGACGGTTTTTAACTGTAGTGAGGCAGCGGGAAGAGGCAAACGGCCATGGTAACAGCTGAGACTTCATCCTTTGGGCAAGTTGTTATGACAAGAGGGTTCCATGTTTGAAGCCCCAGCTCTTGGAAGGCAGAGGCAGAGGCAGGGGCATGAATTCTAGGTTAGCCTGGGTTATCTGGACACTGCCAGAAGGGGAGGGACAGACACAACTAGAAAAGTTAACCCTATCCAGTTAATGGGCCGAGCAAAGAGCAGTCATGCAATAACCAGCCCACTCCACTCAAGTGCAGAAAATTGCAGCTCTCCACTCAGGTTAGCCAGGACATGGGAAACCGAGACCTCTGCTTACATCTCTCTATGATAGAACCCCACGCCCCGAGGTGGCATCTGAAGACTTCAAATCTGAATCGATTTTTATCTCTTTCCAATGGTAATGAGTATTCCATCCCAAGCACCAAAGTACCACTGGAGGTCCTGCGGGGGACACTTAGAAGACCCGTTCTCCTTCCCATGACTGTCAGCAGAGGCCACCCATCCTAACAGTAATGAGGTACACTTGGCCCCACAAGGGTGACAGGGAGGACCAAGTAGGAAACCTAAACTTTTGCTTCTCCCAGAACATACTGTCACTTTCCTAGATAATATAAACTCTGAGTTGGCAAGATGGCTTAGCAGGTAAGATGCTGCCAGGTCTGCCAGCCGGAGTCAGTCCCTGGAGCCCACATGATGGAAGGAAAGACCTGACTTCCAAAAACTGTCGTCTGAGCTGCACGTGTGCCCTGCGGCACAGAAATGCATACAGACATTCATTTTTTAAGTTTAAAATACACTTGCCATATATGTAAGTTTCGTTCTCGGACATGTGTACTGATTAAGCGAACGTTTCCATCCACACAAAACAGTATGTAAATGTCCACAGCAGCTCATCTGAACAGCAAAATATTACAACTGTCCTTCAGTAAGTAAATGGTTACAAGGCAGGCGGTAGTTTAAGGGTGGTAGTGACCTAAAATCCCTGATTTGATACCTACCTTATCAGAAGTTCTTATTCTTAGGCCCTTATCAATTTTCTAAGTACTTTTACTAAATCTTTGCACCCACATCCTAGTAATGAACTGAAACAAGTTCTTCTCAGTTTACAACATCTGGGCTCAAGCTATAGAAAGATGGGCAAGCATCTATGAAATATGTCAGGGCTTCCAAGTCTTATCAAATCCTTACATTACACAGAATGAGGGGTTTGTAGTAAGGTCCTCTGCCACTGTAAAAAGGC